AAAGGCGTCCCTCTCTGGCAAAGGAGACGACGGGTACCGCAGTTCTTTGACGGTGGCCGAAGGCGGGCGTTATGACGACTTGGTCGCCAAGTGAGTATAGTTTGTTACTCCGTAAGTTTGTTTTCCGTGTTTTTTGTGCTTGGCGCTTTGCCGTTGTTTTTTTTCAGGTCATACCCTTGATATCGTCAAATGACAACGATGGCACGACGGTCGGGCTGTTTTTTCCCAAAATAGAACATATTGGTCCTCTTAGGGTATGCATGGTGGAGCCTTGTTCATTGCGATGTCCCCCGACCTTCTTGTGTCGCAGGGCACATTTACATGCAGGCGAAATATGAAAGAGAGCGTGCTCTCGAGGTTCTAGCAACGGTTGCTGTGCCGTCGGGCGCTTTCGTTCAGGACTCCTTGGTCGAAACCCCATTGAAACGAAACGTTCCTACACCCACCACAACGAGAAACACTGCACATGACACCGACGGGCGCTGGTACTCCGCGGTTTTCGTTTTTTTATGTCATACGTACTTGGCATGTATTCGCCGGTACGTTGTGCCTTTTCGTCTCGTTCAAAGGGGACGTTGTCACTAGCGGCGTCGCCCTCTCCCCGTACGTAGTGCAACCTTTTCTGTATCCGGCTGGACTACGTGACCACTCTGTGTGTGTCTGTACCTCTTTTTGTCGCGCGCCAGGCACCGGTACCACCTGCGTGCCACGAGCAAGGTGTCCGGGGCCTCGGCCTTGTGTGCCGTAGGCGTTCGCTTCGCGGTGGAAAAGCTGGCCTCGATGCTCGTCACCGCTAGGAACGAATCCCTTCCGGGGTGAGTGAGCTCGGGGATTGACTGCTGCTGCTGCTGCTGCTGCTGCTGCTGCTGCTGTTGCTGCGGTTGTTGTTGTTGTTGTTGTTGTTGTTGCTGTTGCTGTTTTCCTTGAGGTTATGGTAATGAAAATGAACGTTCTGGCCTCTTCGTGGTACCTCCACATAACCAAAATAACACCTGGACAAGCCGATTCACGTGGTCACAGGAAGATCAAGGTACAATTGCACGATTACCCCGCGAGTCTTGCTTCGTGTATTGTTGCTCGCCCTTTCGAAACAGGCTCAAGAACCAACCCCAGATTTCACGGCGGCCTGTGGATGCCATCGTGTGCGCCGGTGGGGGCTTCGAGTCGCAAGGGTTGCAGGCGAGATATCACCCCCTCTGCATTCCCTCAGCGCGTATTGGCCTGCCCTATGTGGGATACAGTCACGCGATATTTTTTCGCGGTTGATATGTTCATTGATCGTGTTCACATGAGTGTGACCGGTGGGGAATAATGTGGCCTTTCGGGCGTGATACAACCCTTGGGGCTGAAGTGACCGTTGAGCCCCCACACGACAATTGCGGCAAGATTCGGCCGTAAGGGCAGGATTCTTGTACAATCGTTGGGCATCCCTTCTGGGCCGTCGTTCAACCGTGGTGACGCGATGATATGTGACTGCAGGGCGATATTTCACCGTTTGGGGCATGATACGACCGCTGGACGATGATGTGACCGCTGGACGTTGAGTCATGATACGACCGTCGACGAAAGTGCCGTCAAATAATGGTTTTAAAATTGATGAGGCACCCTGCTGTTTGCATGGCATCTTGGGGGCACATGGACAGAGCTACCTAGACTGTCGCAGCGACACATGAGCTTTCCCAACTTTTTTGCTTGCGGCGAGGCAGGAGCGGGTTCTGGTGGCGGCCCGACTTTGGGCCGGCGGCATCCGTGCGGAGTACCTCGCAACGGATGCGCTCGTCAGGTGCGTGCGCACTACTGGCAACCGGGGCTTCCACATGGCGTCCCCAGAAAACTGAAGATAACAGAATTACCCAAAAAACGAAATGCACACATTACAGCCCATCAACAATTTACCGTCGTCGCTAGCTTCCTTTCGTTCGGTTCACGCACTTATGTTTGTTAGTAGTGCTCTCCCTCCATTCCAACCCTGTCCAGGTTCGGAAGGGATCCCTAATACAACTGCCAGAGGGGTCACGCGCGGCCGTCATCACGTTCATCCGAAAAAGAACAACTATTGTACCAACGAACCTGCGCACACCTAGATTTGCCCTGAACCCTTCGGGCCACGGCAACGGTAGTTCCGTGTTTCACGTCCGATCTCCGGCTCATTCCCCCACCTCCAGCTTCTTCCTTTGAAGCCTGGGAGCACCGCTAATTTTTGTCGAGCCTTTCCCTTCCGTCAAGCCCTCCCCCCTGCCCCGCCACCGGAAAAATCGAAGAAATTAGAAACGGGTTTCCATATGGTTCCAGCCGGAGCGGGGGGGGTTGGTGGGTCGGCGGGCCAGGAGAAGTTAATTCTTAAGTCTCTTTTCAATGAAGAAAGGAGGCGATTGTTTGTGAAAAGTTTCCTCCGTCCTGAGCCTCGCGTCAGGCCTTGATGCTTCGTGTATGAGGATGGGCGATGGGGCGGCATGTTTCCTTTTTCGGCCCTATTAGATTCCCACAATTTATCATGAGTGGCGAATTGGTTTGGACCCCTTCGATGTCCGCACACACCCTGCCCTGCCCTTTCTATTAGCGCCGGGGCGGGGAAGGGAGGGGGATTGGAGGGAGCCGCCGAAGCTTGCCTGAGCCTGGGGATTCCGTTCGTTGTGGTTGTGCGTCCGCATACCCTGCTTGCGAAGAAGGCGGTCAAGGTGGGTGTGTGCGCGTAGGCATACATGCATGCGTAATCAATATTGCCCATGTGTTTTGGAAAACGTGCTTGGTTGGTGTACAATTTACCGCAGGCTATAGACCATTCCCCAAACCCCGCAGTTGACTTGTTGATCGCGAATTTGATCACCATTCTCCTCTCTACAATGGCAGTTGGCGCCACTCTCTTTTTGCTGTGTGTATTCCGCTGGGTATGGCACCTTTCTGAAATTTGCATACACGGATTTTGCTGCCAAACCAACAACGACCACAAAGCGACGGCATCAGGGGCGAGAGCGACAGCGTTGTGCACGGCCTCCAACGCCCGTGCTTCTGATATTGAATCTGTGCTTCCAGGTGATGTCGGTGATGGAGAAAGGCGGCGGCCAACTGGAGGTTCCGCTCGACCACCTGGCGCAGCATGTGGTAAGGTCTAAGAAAATCCAGCCGTTCCGTGTGTGTGTGTGTGTGTGTGGTAAGTGGGTTCGTCCCAGCGCTTCAGGTATCAGTCTACACATCTACGGTGGACGTGTTTGACGTCTCAGTCAGCCGGTGTCCCACAGGAGGAAGGTAGCACTACTGTTTCTGTTTGTGTTTTTTTTCCTCATGTAAAAAAAATGAACCACGCCTCGACAGTCACGCTTCGAGGAGGTGGGACCCTTCTAGCACATCATCTCCACCGCAGTTGAAAAAGCAATAAATCATCCCCCCCCAACATCAACCTGAACGGAAGATGCTGCTCACCCCCCCCCCCCCCCCCC